GTCCTGGGACCTGGGGACACTCAGCCCAGAGTCCTAAGTCAGGTCAAGGGTCAGATGAGTGGCACCTGATTTTGGCAGCCAGTGGAATTCTGAGTGACAGGTCCTTCCGTGCATGGGCTCCAGAATGTGCAAAAGCTTGGAGTGAAGACTCAGCTGATTCAGGAGAGAAAGGGAGAGGGATTGTTAGAAACATCGACCAGCTGCCTCCTGCACGCCCCCTACTGGCAAACAAAATACATGCCCTTGACCAGTATCTAATCTGGAACCCTTCAGTCCACAGGCTGGCAGCTCTGTCCACTGAGCCACACCGGTTAGGGCTGCCCTTTCTTTCTTTTTTTAAAAAAAATATTTTATTGATTTTTCACAGAGAGGAAGGGAGGGATAGAGAGTTAGCAACATCAATGAGAGAGAAACATCGATCAGCTGCCTCCTGCACACTACTAGGGATGAGCCCGCAACCAAGGTACACGCCCTTGACCAGAATCAAATCTGGGACCCTTCAGTCCGCAGGCTGACGCTCTATCCACTGAGGCACACCGGTTAGGGCTGTTTTGCTTTCTTATGGGAAATGGGAACAGTTGGGACAGGAGTCCAATTTTTTTTTAAATATATTTTTATTGATTTTCGGGTGGTAGGAAGTGGTGTCAGCCTTTGGCCACCGGTGGGATGAGCTGTGGGGGGTCCTCCTGGCACAGGAGCCAGAGCGCAGTGGCTTCTGGGGGGCGGGGGGGGGGCGAGCTGGTTCAGGCACCCGCAGGTGCAGGTGTCCTTGCTGACTGTTTTTTTTGTAAATATATTTTATTGAGCATGTGCTTTTGACCGGAATGGAACACAGGGCTTTTCAGTCCACAGGCTGAGGCTCTATCCACTGAGCAACACCAGCCAGGGCAGCAGTCAGGTCTTGAGCAGCTTTGTGACAGGTCAGGTGTCTGGTCTGCAGGTGGTGGGGGCGATGGGAGATGGCAGCTGTGGTGGAGGCAGGGAATCTGACCCAGGTCCCGTGAGGCTCCCTGTGGCCGCAGCATGGAGGGTGGTACAGGTCTGAGTGATGAGGCAGGAAGACCAGGGAGGAGGCTGAGGGTGAGGTAATGGGGTCGTGATGGTGGGTGTGGAAATGGGAGACGCAGTTGGATTTTGGCGTTTTCGGTGTGGCCCCTGGATTTTGTTGTTGTTTTTTTTTTTTAAGTGTTATTTATTGATTTTAGGGAGACAGGAAGAGTGATAGAGAGACACACACATTGATTTGTTGTTCTATTCGTGCATTCATTGGTGGTTGATTCCTGGATGTGCCCGGACAGGGGATCACACCCTGAACCTGCAACCTTGTCACATCAAGACAGCTCTCGCCCTGACCGGTTTGCTCAGTGGATAGAGCGTCGGCCTGCGGACTGAAGGGTCCTGGGTTCGATTCCGGTCTAGGGCATGTACCTTGGTTGCGGGCACATCCCCAGTGGGGGGTGTGCAGGAGGCAGCTGATCGATGTTTCTAGCTCTCTATCCCTATCCCTTCCTCTCTGTAAAAAATCAATAAAATATTTAAAAAGAAAAAAAAAAGAAAAAAGCTCTCCTCCCAACTCAGCAGCCCACCAAGGGCACTGCCTGGATTTTTTTTCTTTTTAATTTTTTTTTTTATTGATTTTTGACAGAGAGGAAGGGAGAGGGATAGAGAGCTAGAAACATCGATCTGCTGCCTCCTGCACGCTCCCTACTGGGGATGTGCCCTCAATCAAGGCACATGCCCTTGACCGGAATTGAACCCAGGACCCTTCAGCCTGCAGGCCGACGCTCTATCCACTGAGCCACACCGGTTAGGCTGCCTGGGTTTTCTAATTGGAAGGGAGAGAAAGAGGAGGCAGGGATGGCATGGAAATGGGTTTAGCTCCTGGAGGAATGGGCTCACCGTACACTGAGACGGGGAAGCCCGTAGCAGTGAGAGCGATGCCCATCGAGGAAATCGGGGTTTTATTTCTGGCCCGTGAGGGACGAGATGCTTGAGAGCAGGGTGGGGGTGCAGGCGGGAGAGGTGTGGGCGGGACAGTGATGTGCACGTGGAGGGGGCGTGTGGACTCCTGGCCGCAGGGTCCTGGCGTTGACGTGAGCGTGAGCTCCTCGGTTTCTGGAACTGGAGGAGGCGTTCAGGGTGGAGACTCCCCAGAAGGGAGTGGAGGTGTCTGACTAGGGAGGAGCTGCAGCTCCCCCCCCGCTTTTTTAATATGTATTTTATTGATTTTTTACAGAGAGGAAGGGAGAGGGATAGAGAGTTAGGAACATCGATGACAGAGAAACATCGATCAGCTGCCTCCTGCACACTCCCCACTGGGGATGTGCCCGCAACCAGGTACATGCCCTTGACCGGAATCGAACCTGGGACCCTTCAGTCCGCAGGCCGACGCTCTACCCACTGAGCCAAACTGGCCAGGGCTGCAGCTCCCTTTGTACGGGGAATCCTGGTCGGGAGGATGGTGGCGGCAGCAGCTCAGGAAGAGGAGGCTGAGCCTGATGCCCAGGTTTCCTGTGTGGGCCTCCGATTGTGGGAAGTGGGTGTCACACAGGTGACGGACGAGGCGGCCATGTGGAGGGGGGCGGGGAGACTCCGGTTGGGTAGAGGTCACGGCCTCCGTGGGTGAGTGGCCATGAGATGGATGGAGGCAGAGCAGCAGCTCACACAGGGTGACGGGGGCTGGTCCGCAGTCACGGCCCTCGAGCCTCCCCAGGACGTTGCTGCGCCCCTTGGTGTGTGGGGAGTGGCACGCGGCCGGCACGATGGCCCAGCTGCACACGGGTCATTGGGAGACTCAGGCTAGAGGGCCACTGGGCTGGGCCTGGTGTGGGGTGAGGAGAGGGAAGGCTGTGACTGTGAAGGGACATGAAGTGCGGCACTAGTGGGGGCGGCTGTGGGCACCTGAGAGCCGATGTGACGTGGGAACAGGGAACCGTCAGGAGGGAGGCCCTTGGGGCAGGACTCCGGCCGCCTCTGTGACGTGGACCATCGAGCCCGGGCAGTGCTCGATCCTCTTAGAATTTTCCAAACGTTCTCCGGACCCCAATCTGCTGAGCAGTGGAGAGAGAGGCCGAGGAGATGATGTGGTGCCGCACAGGAGGCGGCCGGGCTGTGGGGGTGCAGGCGGGAGAGGTGGGGCGGGACAGGGATGTGCACGTGGAGGGGGCGTGTGAACTCATGGCCGCAGGGTCCTGGCGTTGACGTGAGCGTGAGTGAAGGGCGAGCCCATGTCTGTCGTATCTGGTGGGAACGTGATGTGGCTCCCCCAGGAATTGCCTGGAAGGAGCGGGTGTGGTCCTCCATGCCCGCCCGGAGCCTCATGTCATGTAGGCCCCTTCCTGCCTGTTGCTGAGGCGGATACAGTGGACAGGGGGCCCCAGTGAGATAGCGGGCATCAGTGCCACCCAGGCAGGACTCCCCCTTGCTGGGGACGGGAGAGGTGAGCAGGGAGGGGTAAGCAGGGAGGGGGGGCAGGGAGGGGTGAGCCGGGAGGGAGGAGTAGGGAGTGGGGAGCAGGGAGGTGGGAGCAGGGAGGGGGGAACAGGGAGGG